GTGTGCTTTTGGCGCCTGGTTTCGGGCGGGCGATGCTGTTGGGGTCAGTGAGGAAAGCCAGGCGAACAAAGGCGGGCGGGCGGGCAGCAGCAGCAGAAAATGTCCGCCAGCGGTCGCGGTCCCGCTTCGCCCCGCTGGCCGGGGGCGGCCGCGGCGCCCCAATAAAGTCTGTTTTGACGAGAAACGCCTGAGACTCCTTTTTCGCGTCGGACGGCGTGTGCTTTTGGCGCCTGGTTTCGGGCGGGCGATGCTGTTGGGGTCAGTGAGGAAAGCCAGGCGAACAAAGGCGGGCGGGCGGGCAGCAGCAGCAGAAAATGTCCGCCAGCGGTCGCGGTCCCGCTTCGCCCCGCTGGGCCCGGGGGCGAGCGCAGTTTGGCTGCGCGGGGCGGGTGGGCGGAAGCGGCGCGCGGAGCCCCCAGGTCCACCGTTGGGAAGATGTCCGTTATCCTTTTGTGACCCGCGGAAACCTGAGGTGGAGCCGTTGGGTGCCTGCTTCCCGGTAGATCTTGGAACTCAGGATCCCGGCCGCTCGTCGTGTATCGGCTCTTCATGGCTTCCTAACATTTCCTTCAGAGCCTCCCTTTCTTCTCTGTCCAACGAGTCATTGTTTCCCTTGACCACTATCTTCACCTATTTTTCCCTTTCATAGATGCTCCTCCTTGTACCCACCAGGCTTTGCATTTGTCTCTTCGATGAAAATTACAGTTTTCCCGCCCTGTTCTTCATCATACCTGCAACAGAGCCTAGATTTTTCCTGGCGCGAATTAGCGACAAGTTAGACGTTCCTGAACAGTTAGATATATTGCAGAGAACTGGTTTTGTCCCTATTAAAGCAATAGAAATAAAGATGTCCTGATTTTTAAGAAAGTAAGGAAAAACTGAAAACTCGGGGAGCGTGCATCTTCGTTGTACTCTTTTGGCCAATTTAACGCCCGTGTGTTTCTTGAAGTGTGTATTCTCCACGTTTACTCGTCTTTTGGGATAGTGTTCTTGCCATTGATGCCACTGATTATTCTGAACCGTAGTACATCAATCTCACATCTAACTTGTTAAAACAAGTGGGTGTCTTTGAGAACATATTAGGGGAAAGTTTATGCATTCAGAAGTGACTCGATCAGTCTTAATTTAGTCTCTACTTTTTTTCTAAATGGCATTGGACTTGATTTTTGAGAATATTAGTGTAAAGCGTGAAAAATAAGATCATTTTCTTTTTGAATCTTGAGTTTTAAAATCTGAGTAATTCCCCTTGGAGTTGTGCACCCACACAGTTTGGCAAAGTCATATCTGTTGAAATAAGTCATTTCTGGCTTTCATAGCTTATAAATTCTGCATAAATGTTTCACAAATGAAAACCAGTTGTGGGAGAATTTTTATGTGGCTTAATTTCATTTTCCCCACTCTCTAGTAATGATGGGAAAATGTCTTTGCGAGTCGTTGATACTTCCTTGTAGACACAAGGAAAATGGGGAAGTACCCAGTTAGCCTAGTTTCAAGTGGAGAAAGCTGAAAGGGGGTTTTTTAAACTGTCAAAAAGGATGATAGGTGTGAGAAAGCACTGACATGCCCCAAATTGCTATGCTAGCACCCGCTCCATGAATAGCTTTTAAAACTCACCCTAAAGCAGGTGACTGGTTAGGCAGACCTCAAGTTTTCTGTGGTGGGAAATATTCTTGTCTTCCACTCTGTAGCTGCAGAGTCTCTTATGACTAGCCCTGCAAAGACAGATAGTCTGCAGTATTGGCTCAGGCCTGCTTGCACTTGCTGCTAAAGGCAAAAATCCATGTAAAGGACAGGTTGAATTGCGTTTCAGAGCCATGGGTTTAAAAGGTGGGGTTCATTTCACTGCTTCTGTTTGGGCAGAATAAATTGGGCCAGTGGGCGTTCCCTCTGAACTTCTAGTCCTTTCGTTTTAGCAGCAAATGATTAACATTGCTTAATTAATCTGGTATTTCTCTTACACCAGTGTTTGGGTGTTTTTACCCTTCCAGCTTCCAAGGGCCGTGGCGGTGTCTGTTGACAGCTCAGTGCCTTGCACGTGGAATTATTGTTTGCTTTTTGGTTCATGAAAAAATGAAGTGGAAAGCGCTGACAGGAGTTCCATGTGATAGTGGTCGGCCTTTTCAAAGTCTCAAGTTCCAACTTTGTACAAAGCTTTCAGTCTACTGTAGAAATGAATAACAACTACCGAAGAAAGTAGGACACTGAAGAATCACAGGAGCTGTGCAGAGCTTTCTAGACTCTCCAAGAAGTCAGCTCATTAATAGCTGAGGAGACGTAGTGATAAATACATTGCAAGGAATGTGCGCTTTGGCCACCTGATCAGGCCAGCAGCAGGATGAGGATGAGGGCTGTTAGCCACAGCCCTCGCTGTCTCCCCACAGCCGTTGCTGTCTCTCCACACCCCTCATTTGCTAGTGATTCCTTTCCTGAAGCCTCCATTCAGGGCTCCAACTATGTTTTAAGAGCACGTGGTTTAGAAAAGGACACCTGTGGAGTTGGCGAAGGGTGGGAGAGGGTGGAGAAAGAATAAAGGATATGAGTTAAAAAGATGCCTGGTAGCTCTTTCCTTGCTTTTTTCAGAGAATCTTATTTAGTGACTTTTGGGAGGCTAACAAATCTACTTGTACTATTTCTATTTCTAGCAGGTTGGAAATGATTTCCAGCATTGAACTCATGCTAAATTATTTCTTTTACCACAAGCTAATTTAATTCAGTTGCCTCATGAAAGTGCCTTTTGGTTAGTTCTACTGTTTAGTTCTTTTGAAGTTACTTCAAGTAGCAGTCAGTGTTCTGCATCAGTTACAGTATGGAGAATGTTCCAACTGGCAGGACCAGTCCAGTCTCTTCCAGGAAACCAGCTGAAAGCAGCTGCTCACAGTCAATTGCAAGGTAGTGAGGGGGCTGTGTGGCTAGAACTAGCGTTCCCTGCCTTTTGTTAGGCTGCAAAGCCTCTGTTTTTTTTGGGGGGGGGAGAAGGTAGTACCCTCCCTGTTCTAATTCAAATCCATGCTGAGTTTCCAATAAAAATTTTAGAAAAATCAGGATGAAAATTCATGTGTATGCATCTAAATTAGTTGTGCCTAGTTTGTATTAGTACAAGTTAGATGACAAACTATAGGTGTGTACACGCTTTCTTAATCATTTAAACGATAGTTATGGAATCTGAAATTCGAGCTACTAAAGGGAGAATTTCGCCCCCCAAATAAATGCGTATATTAGATTTGGAGCTTAAATTACGGTGAAACGGCCTAACTACATGCCTAGTAAATTAACATCGTTTATGCAACATTTTAAGTCTAATTATTTTTCTGAGGGCTACGTGATTTATTGCAGTAAGTGAATCTGGTTATTGCCCATAAGACTGAGGAAAGTTGAAATCTTCAATAATAGATTAACGTTGTTTTTCTTGACTTTGCTATTAGAATTCCCCTCACAGGAAAAGCCAAATCAACTTACTTGTCCCGCAGTTGCTCCTGCCACCTGCCCATCCAAACGAATGCAGCAGGCACACCGGAAAAGAATGAGCAGAAAATTCTCATTCAATTGTGGTAACTTTCACAGTCATGCTTGTTTCACAGCGTAAGAAGGGCAGGACCATGTCCTGTCCACGTACTAGTGAGTGTGAAGATCTTCATGTAGTAGAACAGGAAGAGCTCACATGGACTCGTCCTCAGAGTGGACAGCACAGGGATTTCCCTGGTGGTTAGATGCCTGAGCTGGGGGACCAGGTGAGCCCAGCTGTTCTCCCGGTTTGGGAACGCCTGCTGTGCAGCCCAGGCTGGAGGACACAGCCTGAACTCGAGGACAAGGAGCCTGCAGGACAGAGAGGAGAAGGCTCTGAACAGGTAGCTCCCAAACACTCGTTTCTAGTGTGGGAAGTCCTAGGAGGAAGGGGAGACTCTGGGGACGAGCGGATGTAGCCCAGCCTCATCCGGTGCTGGCCTTCCCAAGGACTCAGACTTGAACAGTCTACGTATCTTGTTTGTTTGTTTGTTTTAATGTGAATCTCTGTGAAAAGACTAAATAGAATAAGTCAGGTGATAAATTCGTAAATATTTGGGACAAGCCCACGGCACTCAGAAAAAGGCTCTTTTTAGCCTTGGAAATTCATCAATTTGAATTGATCCACTGAAACTGCAATCAAAGATGGCCGAGGTTTTCTCAATACTTGGCTACTAACATCACATCCAATTTTTGGGGGGTTTTTATGAGCCATTCCTCGTTCCAAGTCCCAGCTTGAACTTGGAGATTAATAATGGAAATTGTTCTGGAGTTTTGGGCTTTGGAAGATAAAGCAGCTGCAAAATTGGTCGGTGGGAAGAGCAGACGAAGTGCTCAGAACTTGGGTTCAGGTCCTGGCTGTGCCGTTTATCATCCATGTAACCTCAGCAGAGTCCTGTCCTCTGCTCTTTATTTCCTCAGCTGTAAACAGGCCCAGGCATGCCTGTCTTCAGGGATGATAGGAGTCAGCGGTAATGGTAAGTGAAGTGCCCAACCTAGGTAGGTCAATTCTCTGCGCTCTCCAGGGCAGTTACATCCCGTCTCGCCCTTTGTTCCGTTGCGGGGTGAACTAGCCTCTGCCCACTCAACATCTCTGCTTCTGGCTCTCCTTTGCATCCAGGCACTGCCAGCTTTAGGGTTAATGCTTACAGGCAGGACCTCATGTTCTTAGAGTAGATGAAAATTCATTTGCTAGCCAGACTTTTTTTTTTTTTTTTTCTTTTTAAGAGATTTGTCATCAGCGATAAGTTTTTAATCTCTCTGAGCTAGGTGGATTACTGTCCATTAAAAGTAGAATAAACAACTTGCTTTTGTGTTTTCTGTGTCAATCAGAACTTAATGTCTCAATACCAGAGCTCCTTGTGGAAGTCTATTTCTATCTGTGATCCAGCTGTGTCTTAAGAATCACTTTTCCCCTTGCGACACAGAGGTGCCTTGGCTGGAGAGGGTAGACCCAAGAAGACTTGGCAGGGCTGTTATCACTGAGATCAACATCTGCTACTCAGGGCAACAGCAGCCCGGAGGCGGAGAGCAGGTCAGGGGAAGACAGCAGCCTCCTCTCCACACTCCCCCGGGAGCCACAGTCCTGTTCAGAGTTGCCACCAAACTTCCTTGGTGCTCGGTAGGGCACCGCTCTTTCCTCCCTTAGGTCATGTACAATTTTAAACTGGGGGTTGAAAGGACAGGGTGGGGAGGAAGGATTTTATTATATTGTAAACTGCACCATCCTGTTAACTGCCGGAGGGATGCACGCGGAGTGTCCTTGCACTGTTTTAAATGGCATTGTCATTGTGGCGAGACCGTAATCTTGGATCCCTTGAATCTTTTTCCTAACGACTTTCTGACCAAACTGCAAAGGCGGTGCTGACCCCGATGTGGTTTGAAGCTAGCGCCATACCAGCTGCCACCCTCTCTACCATCCTCACCCTCTCCTGTGTCACACTTGGTCTCAATCTTCCTCTGGAACCTCAGCCATAGCACACCCTTCGATGACTTGAGTCCACACAGCCTCTTTACGTGCCGGCCTTTGCACCTCCAGCTGCCTTCATTTCCTCTTCAGCTGCCACGTCCTGATCCTTGTAATCCCTAAGATGACACCACGTCAGTGAACCTTAAGCTCTCCATATCCTGTCCTCCCTGACCCCCCTGACCCTCACACCTTCCTCCCGTTAACCCTTTATTTCAGCCTCAGACCTTTCTAATCCCTCTTTCTCTCCCAGAGTAAAGCGCCATGGTTGATCACAGCATCCTCAACTTCCCATCCTGCTTAAGCCTGATGAAACTTCGCCCGTGGCTCAACCGTCTTCCATCTCCACACTTCTGAAATCCTGGGATCTGCTGGAGGAAACACAACTCATGTACGTAGATTTTCGTCATGCCTTATTCCTGCTTTCTAGCATCAGCTGGGTGTTTAATGTCACTTGACAATTCTTTTTGCTTGTCCTAACTCAGCTCCCTCCTCCACCATTTTGGCAAATTCTCTAAATTACTTTCTTCAGAAATTCGCTCGTCTCCATCTCCACGTCCCTCGGCAGCAGCCCCGTTCCGTTGCTTTCCACTTTAAGGCGATTGACTCAGAATTTATCTCCTCACATGCCAGCTGTCCCTTTGCACCGTGTCCCCTACACATCGACCAAGAAGCACCTTCCATTCGTAGACCATGCAGTGCCACTCCCGGCGGAGCCCGTGTCCTCTACCTGTGCCTTGTCTTCTCCCGTGGACCTGCCATTTCCCCCAGGTCTTTTCCTTTGGATGAAGTCTCTTCTGGTCCTCAAAAACAAGGCTCCACCTTGACCCCGTCTCCCTCCAGCCATTGCCCATCCGTTTTCATTCTCAGCTAAGCACCCTGAGACCACGTCTGTCTTAATGATCCCTACCTCACCCGTTCTACCCGGCACCGTGTCTCCGGCGACCTGGTGATATGCCCAAACATGTGACGACTTCTGCCCTTGTTGACATCGCTGCCTCTCTGTCCCTGGGACTCCGCACTGGGCTGCCTCCGCCATCCTCCTTTCTCCTCAGCTCCTCGCTCCTGACTGTTGCTGCTCGTGCTGCGCTGCTTGTCCCGTGCGCCGTCCCCGGCTGTCTTTATCAGCCACTTGCGCGCCGACCGTCCTTAGCTTCGCCCCTGGTCTGGACCCTCTCCAGAGCTCTAAACCCTGTCTGTCCTCAGCGTCCCCTGCCATCTCACACTCACTGGGTCTCCCTGGCCTTCTCCCCCTTTCTCTGCCCCCTTTCCCTCCAGCCTTGGTCTCTCACCAGTCACCCAGGACTGAAATCAGGAAGTCGTCTCAGGCTCCTCGCTCCCAAACCCCCATGGGTAACCACCACGTCCTGATACGTTTACCTCCTAAATGTTTTTCCCTGTTCCTGCTGCTGCTGTCCTCGTGTCGGCTCCAGCTCCCTCTCACCTACACCTTTGCCGAGCAGCTGCTCTGCCTGCCTCCAGCGTTCCCTCCCCAAGCCTCTCCCGGGTTTTTCTGGCATTCACATGGGACCACATCACTCCCCTGTTCAAACTCCAGGGGCTTCAGCCTTGACCAGCTCCTTGGCCAGGCACCCCTAAACTTCCGGCCTCATTTTCTATGCTCCTGCAGCCTCCAGACACAGGCACATGCAGTTCACACCTCTGTTTGCAGATTATTTCCTCTGCCTGAAACATCCCTCCCCCCCCCAAACTTCCTCCTCTTCCAGATCAGCTCAGATGATGTCTCTAGGAAGCTTTCCTTTGAAGAGTATTTCCATAGCGTTCTGCCTGACCACAGTCGATGTTCTTACATTATAATGAAAGTGTCTGTTAATGTTTCTGCTTCCCCACAAAACTGCACATTGAGGGCAGGGACACACTCTCTCTTGCCTCCTGTTCCCAGGGGGTAGCAAGGCCAGCCAAACGCCCATCAGCAGAAATACCCGGTGATGCTACTACCTATAGCCTCCTCCACACCCACTGCTTGTAAAATAAGTACAGGACCCTTAGCTGAGCTCTAGGGAAGCTTGGCACAGCGGAAAACATGGGAGTTTTGAAATCAGACAGACCTGGATTTGAGTATTTGTTCCATCACTTATTAGCTAAGTCATCTTAAACGACTTTCTGAACCTCTCTGGGCCAATTTCGTTATCTGTACAATAGGAATCTTACTATTCAAGATGGCTGTAAAGTTTGAGTGCAATGATATGTACGGTGCTCCTGGCATGCAACAGGCACGAAATAAAATTCCTCATCTTTTACTGTTTTTCTCTCCCTCCTGCTCCATTCTGACCCCCTCCCCCGACATCCGGCCTCACAGAAGTTTCTTTGTGGTGAAAACGCCCCTTCATTTTCCTTGCTCTTTGCCTTCCTCGTCTCCCCCACCTCCCTGCTCGGTTCAGGTCCTGCCTAAAGGAAAGCCCAGGTGCTGCAGTTAGAAATGGCCCCTGGCCTGGTCTCCTGTTGGCCCCATCGGAGAGAAGTGGAAGAGTCAGACTTACTACTCAGTCAGCTGGCTTTTAATTACTTGTAGATAGTTCCTGGGTTGGAAGCTTCTGGAAGGCAAGGGTGTTTCTTCTCCTTTTTTGTAGCTCTCCATGCTATAGGCATGTAGTTCTCCGGGAACTCTGAATTTTAGCTTTCTTGTCCTTCAGATTTTTTGAGTAGTATGAATTTGCAAGCAAAGAAATGTCTGAAAATTAGACACAATTCTAGAAAATTAATTTCAAACAGTGAAAATTAATCAGTTTGGGAATTAGCTTATAATGTGAAGAAAACAATATTGCTCACGTCAAACTACACGAAAAGGATGTATATGTCAATTATTTCTCAGAGGCATATTCAAGAAGAAAATCCTTTAAGTAGACTGCTCTGGAAAAATAATCTTATTTTCTCCTGGTCAGGTGAAGCTGACACAGTCCTTCACCCAGCCCTCTCAAAGCAAACACTATTACAAGTAAAATCCTGTTACAACAGCTGCTACCGCAAAGGCCGCCCATATAAAAAGACCATCGCCTGTTGAAATAAATGCCTTATTGATCGATGCATTAATCCAAGGGTAGCAGGTAACATTGCTATTTTCATGTCACAGGCAGATAGAGGTCTTTATAGATTTGTTCATACACACCTCTTCCAGCCTTTGAGCCCCCTTTGTCTCCCCCAAACCACTGACTTCTAGATGCAGAGCCCACTTGATGGAGTAGAACCAGTCTACTTCTGGCTTCACCCTGAAGCAGGTAGCCCTGTCCAGCACCGAGTTCATTAGAACTCACCTCCGTCGGGTTTTGCAGGCTAGCCACTGCTCGCTGTCGCACGTGGATAGCTGTTAAATCATACTTCCTCATCCTGTATTTGAACCGTTGTTTTTTTACGATCCAAATTTAGTAACTTACATATTATACATACCAAATGTAATATGTAAGTCTTCATGTTACTAGATACATCTGTCATACGACCCGATGGCGATGGGGAGATGTCTCAACTCTGATCCAACATTTCATCCTGCCAGCGTAATGGCAGCTAACTCTCACATAGCTCTTATTTAAACTGGGGTTGTATCATAAATACCTTCTAGAAACAACCTAGAGAAACGGTTGCGTACCTTACTGTATGTCACATGAACGAATGTGTACAGCTCTTTAGCAAAACGTATGGAGTCTCTGTGGCGTTCACTTTGTTTCCTGGTATCCCACTACTCAGTATTCCCTCCTTAGCCTCATTTTTTTAGAAGGTAGCAATCAGCTCTCTTGTGGGATGAACTCCCTTAGCTTGAGGGGATAAATTGGCCAAAGAACCACAGCAATCTGTCTCCTTTAACAGGTGACTGATTTAAGAGGAGCGTGGGAGAACGCAAACCATCTCTGGCCCGTGAAATGCACAGATCCTCAAGAGACCCTGTTCTTCCTTCCTGCCCCCAAACCGGTGTGATGGCTAGGGCTGTGGCAGCCATCCAAGACTGTGAGGAAAAGGCTGGGAGAATTGCAGTCAAGGGTCAGGCACCGGGGTGCGAGCTGCCGCTACCGCAGGGCTTCTCGGGTAAGCCACCGTGCCTGGGTTGGTAGACTTACTGCCGCAGGCCAGGCGGTCAGCCACTCCCACTGCGAACAGGAGGGGCGGGGAGTGGGATGGAGGAGGGAGGACATCGAAGGGACAGTTACTCTTCTGTATGAAGCGTTGTCTCTTGGTGATTTCATGGTCTGTCCGTATGGAATCCATGGCATATTATAAAGCCATACGTTTTGTATATAGTGGTTTTTAATTTTGTAAATGGTTTTAATATGAAAAAAGTGCTATGATAAAATAATAAGCAAAAATGTAGGATATCTGTGTATATAGTATAATTCCAACTTTTTTTGGAGGGAAAGGTATGATAATGTCAGAACAATGTAGTTTGCTTCTGGGAACTAGGATTTTGGTGGTTTTTTTATTGTCATAAAATCCACCATTTTAACCATTTTTAAGTGTACAGTTCATTGGCATTAAATACATTCACACTGTTGTGCAGCCGTCACCACCGTCCATTCCCAGAACTCTGCATCTTGCAAAACTGAAACCGTTCCCATGAAACACTAACTGCCCGCCCCGTCCCTGCGACCCCGGCATCCTCATTCACTTCCGTCTGTGAAGTCGACTGTTGCAGGAACGTGGCTCGTATAAGTGAGTCACGCAGCTCTGTTTGTCCTTTCGTGACTGGTTTGTTTCATTTAAAATGTTCTCAAGATTCATCCATGTTGTAACATATGTCAGAATTTCCTTCTGAAGGTTGAACGATGTTCCAGGGTGTGGATGGACCACGTTTTGCACATTCGTTCGTCTTCAGTGGACACTTGGGTTGCTCGACACTTCAGCTGTTATGAATAATGCTGCTATGAATGTGTTCTGTTTTATGATCAGAACAAAGGTAGCACATTAAGAAAAGCTTGTGGAAGCCTAATCACCTATTTTGAATTTATGCTTTTTCCCTGTGTTTCTTTTTTCATCAGATCTTTTGGATTCTTTAGCCAACTGTGACATTTCCCTACCAGAAGGAAAAATTGGAGTTGGAAGCTTTCTCACCATTTGAAAAGCTACTAGTAGTGAAGTGGTTAGCTGTTTTCCTACTTCCTGCTCTGCTAAAGAGTGAGTTCTTTAACTTCTTGTCATCATCCAGTTATTCTCCATCTCTGAAACGTCCCCAGCGTAAGTCACTGTTCCCATAGCAAGTCACTGTCTCCATAGCCCCGGGCAGGTCTGCATTGTACTCTATGTCCTGTTGGACTCATCAGTCCGTCCCCCCAGGAAACTACACAGAAGACAAACAGCAACGGATTCAGCTCACTGAAGAGCCAGGTCACTCATGTGGCGGCCACCCTGCCAGGTCCCCAGAGTGCAGCGATGACCAAGCCGGCCGGGTACCAGACACTCTTCATGGAACCTCTTGTCAGGCGGTGGAGGCGGTGGTAGAATTCACTAATTTAGGGGAGTCATAGGATTTATGCCAGAAGAGACCCTAGAACCGATTTAGTCTGACCCCTTGAGACACCCGGGTGAGGTGTCGAGACTGATAGTAGGGTGAACTGGAAGTGCCCTTTCTGTTCCCGTCCTGGTTGGCTGTCATCAAGACACTCTGATTACTCAGCCATCCCCAGTCAGCTCTTAGGCTCTGGTCTCTTCTACCCAAAAGCTTCCACTCTGCAAGATATCTCTCTGGCAGTCACACCAGATTTTCTACTGTGACCCAGATATGCCTGTCCTTCCTCACCCCTCCTTCCCCAGGGTCTTTCTCCCCAAGCTTCACCTCTGGATGCTGGATCCTTCAGCTTCCACCCGAAATGCCACCTTTTCAGCCTGACACAAGCCCATCCTCTTGAGCAACTGCGGTCTCCAACCAGCGTGGGATTCGTGTTCCCCAAGCTTTGGTCTTTGAAGGTGCCTGCAGGTATATGTTGAAGCCTCCTCCTCTTCCTGCCCCCCACGTCCCCCTTCCTCTGTCTTTGAGGTTGTAGATTCTCTTTTTGTTATGTGAACATGAAGAAAGCAGGATACACACTCAGTTAATAATGGTTACCTTAGGCAAGGCAAGGGAGAGAATAAGTGCAAACCCACCTATTGAACCCTGAGCAAGTGCATGAAATGAGAGGCCCCAAAGCCAGGAGTAGGAGGAGCCGTCCGCCCGCGTCTGGGTCACTGGGAAGCGGATCGAGAAGTGTGTCGAGGCTCTTCCCGTCACAGCTCGGGACACGAGTTGGAGCTGGCTTCCGGAAGCACGGTGCCTCATATTTATAGCGCACCGAGCAGCTCTTACGCGTGGGAGAATGAACGAAATCACTGGTGTCTCACTGTCTATTAGACTGTGGCACCGTCGCCTACCGTCTCCCTTTCTCCCCTTTTCCTCCTTATTCTTTTCGTATCTTGTCCCTCCCGACTTCTTCCTGTGCTTTCCATGTCCGTCACATTTCCCTTTCCCATCCTCCACGTCTTCCCTTCCCTGCTTCACTCAGCTCCTTCTTAATGTAGTTAGTGTATGCATTTCACACTTGTCTTGCTTATCTTATGTGTTATTAACGGAGCCAGTAGACGAGTTATGGTTTGGAGCTTTTTCTCCCTAGAAAAATCGAGCCCATGTTATTCTTTGAACGACTTTGATGGGTTTTTCTCCCCGTGAATCAGTGACGCACAGGAAAGCTGTGAAGCATGGGCCCGGGGCGGACCGCGGGAGCCTGGGAGCTCTGCGTGGAGCTGAGCCTGGCCCTCGCGCACCCTCCAGTGCTTTCACCCTTCCCCCACCGCCCACCCACTGCACAAAAGGGCTCGGGTCTCTGAAGCTTTTCTCCACCAGCCCCCAGCCTCCGTGCTGGGAGGGAGATGGACTGGCTGCTTCCAGGACTGTAGAGACCCACAAGGTAAAAACGGGGCTTCTGGGTGAAAATTTGGTTCCTTCGATCCAGTGCCTGAGGCTGAAGTAAAGTAGGCTTTGGCGTGTGCAGGCTGTGGATGAAAACGGCTCTAATAAAGCTGACCAGTGACAAAGTAACTTCACAGGCCGATCCGATCCGGTCACAAATCCCTAACTGGGCAGCTCCTGGTGGGTAGTCACGCCCCAGGCCATAACTGTTTTAGGAAAAGATTTATCTCAGCCTTGAGCAAGACCGCCCATCACGCATCTAGTTAACATACCCTGGAAATGCCAGAGTGATCTTCCCTCAGACCCCTCAGAGGCGTCACCAGCCTCAGGAGAAGGTGCAATCTCAGCTGTCCTGCACTCCTGTCCCACCTTGCCGTCTCCGCCTTCACATAATCTTCCTTACTTTCCCTCCTTAATGTCAAAGGTATTAAAAAAAACCTGCAAAACTCATTCTCGGGAGCATTTGAGATCTTGCTCCCTGGCATATGTTGTCAGTTTGGCTCAGATAAACTCATAAAAATCCTCTGCGGGTTCGGACATTTCTCACACCAACAGATGGATGCAGCGTGTAAATTACAGGCTGCCGTTAACGTCGGCAGCGGCAGCGCCAGTTACTCAGTTACTTTTGTGCCCCCGACCCCCATGCGCTCTTCTGGGTGCCGGAAGGCAGTCTACGGCAGTGGTCGCACTGCTCTGACCCCGGGGTCACTGCCGTGCTGCACATCCTTGAACTGGGCCATCCCAGTGGCGGCCGGCTTCTCCCTTCCCGACCTTGGCTCCTTGTGGTGGGTCCACCATTCCCGGATCTCTGCCCCATTGTTTTCAACCTATCCATGACTTTGTAAGCTAATTCCATCCATTTTATCCCTCGTCAGTTTCAAATATCACCTCTGCAGAGAGCCTGCTGAGGACTGGATGTTTGTTTCCCCACCCAGAATTCACGTGTGGAAACCCCATCCTCAGTGGTATTGGGCTGGGGGTGATGAGGTTACGAGCATGGTACCCTCGTGAGCGGGATCAGGGCCTCTGTAAGAGGCCCCAGAGAGCTCTGCTCCCACCTGTGTGAAGACAGGAATGCTGTCCCAGGACCCCACCATGCTGTCGCCCTGATCTCAGACTGGGCTTCAGAACTGTGAGAGAGAGATACCTTGTTTATAAGCCACCGAGTGTGTAGTGCTCTGCCACAGCAGCGGGACGGACTGACGCTGAGCCTTCCTTACCGTGGAGCCGTTGTTACCCTTCAGCTGCCCCACAGAGTCACAGTGTCGCTCTCTGCTGGCAGGGTGCCTCTTCCTCGCCTTACACCGGAAGGTCCTTGAGTGCAGGCACTGTGTGCTGACCATGCCCCCTACCGAGCACTCCATGGTGCCCCGCTGAGCACAAGGCTGCAGGCCTGCCTGGGCCACACCTGTGGGACAGCACTTCCGGCCTACAGGCCTACAGCTACTATCTGGAACTCTGCAGGGAGGGTGGAACCGAGGCACTGGCCCCGCCTCCGCCTCCTGTCATTCCAGCCTGTAGTTTTCACCGTGCACATACCCGGGGTTGGCTTAAACTGGCCGGACCCCTGCCTTGAATGAAGTCATGGATGGTTTACAAGGTTCTAACCCCACAAACAACTCAAACCCATCTCGGAATCCAGTAACTCTGTCAGGACCCGGGTCACAGTGACTGCACTCAGGGCAGATTTCTAGGCCTACGTCGGGGACAGAGTGTTAAGTGAAGCCACCGGAGTCTACATCAGCTTCAAAGCTGTAAACCACGGGCATGGTCTTTTAGAGTGCAGAGGCTGTCTCTAGGTCGAAGGAAGGCGGGGCAGCTGCCGGATTCGCAGGGCAGACGTATGGAGGGGGCTTCCTGGGGCAGTTACTTCCAGCACGGGCTTCATGACGACCTTGAACTTTTGGTGGACAGTCCGCCCAGACAGATTATGGGGAGAAGGCGATTGATGCCATGAGCAAGCGAGAAACTGGGCGACCCATGCTCATGTTCGCTTGTGGGCTTGCGGGCTGGTGGCTTTGGACCTGCTTTTGGGGCCCAGCTCTGCCTCACCTGGGAGTGGCTGGAAATGCCACAGGGGTCCCTGCGTGTGATTGGAGGGAAACCGATGATGGGCTGGCCTTGGCTAGTGCCTCCTCCTCCATGTCGCTGGTTCTTTGCTTCTGTTGCTGCATCTTAAATGCTCTCCAAGCTGGAAACCGAAAAGGAGGAACATACTCCGTTTTACTCCTTAGCTGTTCGACCTTAGACAAGCGATCTAACTAACCTCTGAGCCCCAGTGGGGAAAGAGGCCTGGCATTCATGAAGCAGGCTGTGTAACGCCCCTCGGCTTGCCGCCCTGACCTGGCAGGCCCCTTACCTGCTCTGTGAAGAACACCAGCACGTTTGCGTGGAAGCCCAGAGCAGAGGGAGAGGGGTGAGCAGTAGCCACAGTCAGACCTGGATGCTTATCTCTGCTGCTACATCTGTGTGACCTTGGGCAAGTCCCTCCTGGGTTGAGATGGACTTATATCTATGAGAGGTACCAAAAAAAGTCACAGCGTGGCCCATTTCTGCTAGTTCTTGCATGGGCTTTTCTCTATAACCTGCAGTAGCACCCAGAGGGTCAGGACTCAGGATGGGGAGACAAGGAGCTCTCCTCAGTGGGACCAGGACAGGCTCTGTCCAACCTGCTTCTGTGGTTGGGGTCATGTGGTCACTAACTTAAGAGCTTTTGAGCTCCAGGAGACAGTGACCTCTCTTTTACCCGGTGCTTTGTCAGGGTCAGCCAGAGCACAGAAAAAGCAGGAAATGGTTCTTGACCCAAACATGTGAGTGGTGGTGGGCAGGCGGGCAGTTGCATGGAAATTAGGTCAAGCCAGGCCCAGCAGCTGTGTGAGCAGGTTCTGTGCGGTGGACAGGTGCTACTGCCTGCTCTGGTGAGCTGTGGTAGCAGGTGCAGGGAACTTTGCTGGGCAGTGACGGCTGGACCTGGCTGGGGCCCACTCAGGATGGGGCTTGCAGGTGGGTGCTTGGTAAGCCGACGTGGCTGGTAGAACAGCACTGGGGGGCAGGAGGCAGGAAGCTGGGGTGAAGTGCTGGGAAGAGCAGAATAGGGGGAGTCTGGAACTGGGGAGACATTGTCTCCAGTGCACCTGGGGTGGTGGCCACAGCCCAGCTGGCTGCATTGACCTCAGGAGAGTCTTCTCTCGGAAGCACGGGCACGGAGAGGGGATTCGGCCTTGGTTCTCACACCAGAAGGGTTTCAAGGGGCTGTCGCCTGGGTGCCATGTGCCTGTCAGTCGTCCCAAGGGCTTGGGCACCATTCCTTCCATTTGAAGCAGCTAGTGACAGAGAGTTCAGCTCCATTGCAGGACATGGGTTTTTTCCTCCCAGTTTTGAGTATTACAAATACCATGGGCAAGGAATAAATTGCTTTTTCTTTTAGATGGTTTTCAGGAGAGCAATTACAGGATCAAAGCATAGGAGGGGCATTTTCATAGATCTTGACATATAATTATCAAATTTCGCCCCAAACAGGGCAAAATCAACTTACAAGGCCAGTTCACCTGAAAACAATCCTCCTTCCCCCATAAGCACTGCTGCACCCCAGAGGCTGTGTCCTGTCCCAGCCATGACCCTCTTCTCCCTGCAGGTGAGTCCAATGCAGGGTCCTGTGATACAGCCGGGGCTTTGACTGGGATTGCACTGGATTTAGGTATCACGTGGGGAGGGGCACTTCCAACCCATGAACATGGTATATCTTGCCTTTTACTGAGGCCTCTTTATCTCATAATAGTTTTGTGATTTTCTCCAAAGAGTTGGTGGACACGTTTTTATCAAGAGGCCTGTGTTTGAGGTTATTGTAAATAGTTCTTACATCATTTTCTAATTGTTATAGCTAGGATTTTTTTTTTTTTTTAATGTAGGGATTTTATTACATGTTGATTTTTTATCCAGCAACCTTATTAAACTCTTGTGTTCTAGTAATTTATCTGTTGATTCTTTTATAAGGGATGTTTATATGGGCAGTATAAACATAAGGGATGTTTATAAGGGTAGTACAGGGTTTTGCACTACCTTTTATTGGAGCAAGGAACTCCAGTTTGTTCCTAGTTTTCTAAGAGTTTTTCTCATGAATTGGATCTTGAATCTTATCTGCAACCATAGGGAGGATGGTATGACTTCTCCTTTTTCCTGTTAAAGGGATAGATTATGGTGAGTTTTTCAATACTAAACCATCTTCCACGATACCCTTTTTTATGCACTGCAGGATTTTTGCATGAATGACATTGCCCTGTACTTCTTTTTCACATTTCCCTTATCAAGTTTTGGTGTCAAGGTTCTGATTGCCTCACAGACCAAGTTGGGCAGTTCCCTCTATGTTCTGAGTTTGTGTAAGAGTGGAATTTGCTGTCTCTTAACTCCATATGAGAATCACAGGCGAAGCCCTCGGGGCTGGGTTTGCTCTGTAGGAAGGTCAACTCCTGAACAACTTTCTCTTTCAGAAATCTCATCCCTTCTTTGCCATCCTCCCAGATTAGCAACCCAGTCACAGCTGGACCGGTGGGGCACCCTACGGGGTCACTGCCCAGGGCCTCCTTGGCCCAGGCCTCCCCAGCTCCTCTCCCTGGAGCCGCCACCCTGATCCCCTCTCCCGCCTCCAGAGTGTCTACTGCCCAAGGTGAAACTCAGATCTGCAGTGAGCCCCTCGGCTATATCCACCCTTCCCTTCTGCTGTGCCCTGCTGAGTCGGCGGCGCACCTGGGTTTCTTGTGTCAGCTCTTCCGTCCATGCAGATTGCTAGAAAAGTCTGTCCCATCCTGTCCTCTCTCTTGTTGCTAACAGAGCCTCTAACAGGAAGCCTGCCCCTTCTCTCTAGCGACAGACAGGTCGCCTCTCTCCTGCAGCTCTCTAATTCTGCTATTATCAAAATCGCTTTGGGTAGAATTATTCTGTACCCAAATGAGCATTTCAAGAGGGTGGGCACATGTTTATGATTGTTCACTTATTCAGTCAACAAACAGACCCAGTGCCCCAGCCAGCATGCTGGGTGCTGAGATGTGGTAGTAACCAAGACAGATGGGTTTCAACCGTTTCAGAACCTTCCAGTAAGCAGGAAATAGGAGAGCTTACACTGTACAGATGAGCATTAAAAAAAAAAAAAAAATCACCCTGAATCCCTCTGTTCACATATTGGAGTATTTCTTCCTAGCTTAGAAAATGCACATAATAACCTACCTGAACTACCTGGGTAGGTACATACTATCTTACTTTACAGGTGAGGAAACAGGCACAAAGCACTTAACCAAAGGTCACAGGAATGGCAAGATCTGGATTTTAACAGGCAGCCTAGCTCTGAGCCCTCCACCCCAACCCACCCCCACCTTTAAAAAATGTGGCTTGAACTGTGTGTCTCTGTTGGGAGCCCAGAGTTTTCACTTTGCATTTTACCTTGCGGACACAACTGT